GGTGGGTACATCCATCCCACAGGTGCTCTTGGTGCTAGTCAAAACTTCCACCCAGTTTTGTGCCAACGACTTGGTTGCTGGGCTGGCCGGAGCTGTCACTTAGATCTGTGTTGGTAACTCGTGATGCTTTTCAGCCCAGTGGGGTTCTCCTGGACTGTGGGTTGCAGCGGCCATGGGAGAAGTGCAGAATCTGAACTGGAGTGCCGAGGGGGTAAAGTCCCTGATCCTCTGGTCAGTTGCACTTCCAGTGCCCACCCTGCCTTGGTTCGCCCTCCTTGGGATATACCCACTGTCCAACCAGTCCCATTGAAATGAACCTGGTACCTCAGTTGGAAATGCAGAGATCACTGGTCTTCTGTGTCTCTCTTGCTGGGAACTGCGCTCTGAAGCTGTTTCTATTCATCCGTCTTGGTGGAAGCCCTGTATCATATTTTTTAAACTTAAAATTATCTTTTGTATTCTGTTCTGAAAAATTTAATTAATTTGCAACTTGCACATATTTTTGCATATATAACACGTTTTAACATTGCACTTTTGTTTTTAATATTTTGGGGTTATCTTAATATACCAAATTGCTAGCTTTTATGTTTTAGCAGTTTAATAACAGTGATTATTTTAGTCATTCTGCTCTCTGTATAGCATAGTTTCAAGTATTTTGATGGAAGGGAAGGGATTATAGTTGAGGAATGAGAGAAAGTACAGGACATATTTTTAATCCTCAAGGTATATATTGTGCGATTGGGGATATAAAGTACATGGATGTAAAATATTTTTGTGGTACAAAGGTATAAATGAGTAGTAAAACACATAGCCATTGAGAATTATCTAACTTTTTATGCTATTGATTGGGAAAACTAATCAGAATAAAACAGAGTGGACAGATGATACTATAACAAAGTGGGCTAGATACAAAAAAGGTTAAATAAAACTGAACATGAAAAATAATGCATTTTTAATTCAGTGAATTAGCAGTTATTTACACAGTGCATGAAGAGGAGAACAAAATACTTGGACAGGGCAATTGGGGATGAATAAAATAAAGTTCTTATTTTTAAGAAAAATGTAATCTAGATGGCAAGAGAAGATAATCACCTAGAATAAGGTAACTAGCAATCTAATTTATATTAAGGCAGATTCCAAAAGTAGTAAATACTACATGCTATAATATTCAATTGATTTGGTCTATACCAAGGCAAATAGTTGGTTTCATTGATTTTACTTCCTGATGTATTGACTGAATCAGCCATATGTTTTAGCATCCTGTCAAAAAAACCAGAGCATAAACTTTATGCCTAAATTCTAAGAGATTGTGGAGGGAGGGCCTTTTATTCAAGTGAGTTTTATGTGGGTCTCTAGGTTTGTTGCAGAGAATGGGAAAACAGACTGAAAAGAACTTTTGGAGTTAAAGCTCAGAAACTAGGTTTTCATTAAAATTGATGATAACTTTATTGTCAAGGACAAGTTGCCTAGCCTTTCTGGATTTTTATTTTCTGGTATATGAAATGAAGAGTTCGAACCAGGTAATTGCTTAGAAAAGTTCCCTAGAGTACTAAATGCTTGTTTCCCCACATTTCAGAATTAGTAAATTAAATGGTGGCAGTGAGATGAGTTTATTTGCCTGGAGAAGATATGGGTGACGACCAGAGGTGATGTTGAATAGGAAAGAGTGGAGGGGGTCTTGGAAGTAGGTACATGGTTTATAGTAGGAGCTGAATGCCAAATTAATGAAAGGAATTTGATTTGGTAGTCATTAAGAGACCCCTGAAGCAATATACTGAAGTGATGGACACAGATTTGAGGGATACTGTTCTGGCAGTTAAAAGTAGGTTAAATTAAGACATAGAGACCACCTAGTGAAGGTAGCAAGCTAAATGCTTTGCTACATTGTTTATTTTTAATCATGACAGTATCTCTATGAGGTAGATACTACTATCATGATTAGACAAATGAGGAAACCCAGAGAGGTTAAGTGATTTGCCCAGTGGTATATAGCTATGTAGTGGCAGAACTAGAATTTGAATTCATGTTTGTCAACTCTAAGGTTCACACTCTGCTCTTAAAAGAGTTACTTTTCCCCTCTTCCCCAGGTAGTATACTGCTCTGCTGCTTTTGATTAAGGGAGTGTTGATAAGACCCTGGGTTAGAGAGGTGGATATTGTACTGAAAAGGAAGTGACTTTTTAGCCCCTTCCTACTCAAAGTATGGTCAGTAGACTAACAGTATCAGCATAATCCGGGAGCTTGTTAGAAATGCTAAATCTCTGTCCCCACTTGATATAATTTGGATATTTATCTCTGCCCAAATCTCGTGTCGAACTATAATTCCCATTGCTGGAGGTGGTGCCTGTTGGGAGGTATTTGGATCACGGGGGCAGATTCCTTATGGCTTGGTGCTGTCTTCGTGATAGTGAGTTCTTGTGAAATCTCATCATTTAAAAGTGTTTGGCACCTTCCCACCCCACTGTCTCTATCTCTTGTTCCTGCTTTTACCATGTGTTGTGCCTGCTCCTGCTTTGTCTTCCAACATGATTGTAAGCTTCCTGAGGCTTTCTCAGAAGCCAAGCACATGCCCGGTGCCATACTTCCTGTACAGCCTGCAGAACCATAAGCCAATTAAACCTCTTTTCTTTATAAAGTACCCAGTCTCCGGTCTTCCTTTTCTTTTCTTTTTTTTTTTTTTGGGACAGGATCTCTCTCTGTCGCCCAGGCTGGAGTGCAGTGGCGCATCTTGGCTCACTGCAACCTCTGCTTCCCGGGTTCAAGCAATCCTCTGTCTCAGCCTCCCAAGTAGTTAGAATTACAGGTCCCCAACACCATGCCTGGCTAATTTTTATATTTTTACTAGAGACGGGGTTTCACCATCTTGGCCAGGCTGGTCTTGAACTCCTGACCTCGTGATCTACCTACCTGGGCCTCCTAATGTGCAGCGATTACAAGTGTGATCCACGGCACCCGGCCTCTTTTCTTTTCTTTTCCTTTCTCTTTCTCTTTTGTTTTTTGTTTTGTTTTGTTTTGAGACAGAGTCTCACTCTGTCACCCAGGCTAGAGTGCAGTTGTGTGATTGGCTCACTGCAACCTCCACCTCCCGGGTTCAAGCAGTTCTCCTGCCTTAGCTTCCTGAGTAGCTGAGATTACAGGCATTTGCCACCTCACATGGCTAATTTTTATATTTTTAATAGAGAAGGGGTTTCACCATGTTGGCCAGACTGGTCTTGGACTCCTGACCTCAGGTGACCTGCCCGCCTCGGCCTTCCAAAATGCTGGGATTACAGGCATGAGCCACTGTGCCCAGCCAGGTATTTCTTTATAGCAATGCAAGAATGGCCTAATATACCACCCAAGACCTACTGTACCTGAATCAGCATTTTAACAAGATCCCCAGGTACACATTAAAGTTTGAAAAGCTCTGTGCTAGAGGTGTTTACCATATTGACCCTTGCAGCTGAAAAGAAGGGTGAGCCACACCAGACAGTTGCACTTGTGGGGTTGTGTGTGCAAATGTGTGAACAGTCATTGAAATAGGCAACACTGTGAAGTAGGTAAAAAAATACTCTTCTGTGTGCTCACCTGCCTCCACTTCCAGCATTCTTTTGTGGTCACTCAGCACACTTACGCCGTGGCTTCCTTGGCTGTATAGGGCCCATTTCCTGAGCTTGCTGTCTGTGGGTAGTTGTCCCATTTTTGAACCTGTTTCCAGAGTTTCTTCCCCTCAGATCAGACTCTCTTAAGTACAATGGAAAGGCTCCGATAAATTACTCCTAGGAATATTTGCCTGTTAATAGGGGCAGGGCCTTAATCCAGGGGAGTTCAAGCCCCAGTCACAGATCTTCAGATAGCACCAGGCCAGTGGTAAGTATGATTTAGGCACGTAACAGGTTTATCTCTTATCTCTTTTGCTGTATATATGTGGATCTGGCCTGTAGTCTTTTGATTTTGGAGAAGTTGTAGTGTATAGCTTCCTGTTTTCAGTTGAGCTTCCTGTTTACAAACTGAGCCAAAGTATGCATTTGGAATTTAAAAACCAAATAGCAAAAGTTCTTTAAGATAGTGAAAGGACCGATTTGATTTGAGAGGAAGCCATGCTATTCTGGCACAGTGTCCCAAAGAGAATTTCCTTCCTCTGAGAAACTTAACTTGGAGGTGACTGTGCTGGTGGTTGGGGTAGGATTTTCAAAGAAAGATAAAGGATTAAATAAATTTTAATTAATATTTATTCAGAGATAAATCTGACACGGTGTGCCAGATTCTTCCATGTATATTATTTTCTTTAATCTACTCAAAACTTGCCCACAAGGGTGATATTTTCCCTCTTCTTAAATTGACAAAACTGAGACTGAGAGAGTTTTAAGTTCCTTGACCAGGATATTTAACTCTTAAGTAATAAACTTCACCTCCTTTGGTTTTTCTATGCCTTATAATTTAAAAAATTAGACTAGTTTTTAAAAATTTAATTTTATTTTTTGGAGTGACAGGGTCTTGCCCAATTCCCCTGGCTGACATTCAGTGGTAAGATCATAGCTCACTGTAACCTTGAACTCCTGGGCTTAAATGATCCCCTTGCCTCAGTCTCCTAAGTAGCTAGGACTATAGACGTGTGCCACCATACCCAGCTAATTAAAAAATTTTTTTCAGGCCGGGCACAGTGATTCATACCTGTAATTTTAGCACTTTGGGAGGCCGAGGCAGGCGGATCACCTGAGGTCAGGGGTGCAAGACCAACCTGGCCAACATGGTGAAACTCCATCTCTAGTAAAAATACAAAAATTGCCAGGCGTGGTGGCGCCTGCCTGTAATCCCAGCTACTTGGGAGGCTGAAGCAGGAGAATCACTTGAACCCAGTAGGTGGAGGTTGCAGTGAACTGAGATAGCGTCACTGCACTCCAGCCTGGACAACAGAGTGAGACTCCATCTTAAAAAAAAAAAAAAATTTTTTTTCCAGAGACAGGGGCCTCATGCTGTCCAGGCAGGTCTTGAACTTCTGGCCTCAAGCAGGCCTCCTACTTTGGCCTCCCAATATGTTGGAATTACAGGTGTATGAGCCACCAACCCTGAACTTGTTTTTGTTTTTAAAATATAAGAGACATGCATATGGTTAAAAATAAAAACAAACAAAGTTGTACATACTTCCTTTTCCAAATCACCCTACCCCCTGAAACTTCTCTAGTGGCAACCCCACTTGGTACAGGTTCTTCAGTAGTTACCATAAAAACTTTAGATATTACACTTGTAGTTCTTATTTGGTCAACTGTAGATGGTATCTGTTGACTTCCTTTACAATAAATGATTTGTTACACTCCCTCTCCTGCTTCTCCCTCCAAATACTTTTAGTTCTTTTTGTGCTTGCTTTTGACTTAAATAATATTCTTATTTTATAATGTGCCAATCTCAGATAGTGCCTATTGATTCCTTGTTTTAAAATATGAAGAAATTAGTGCACCCAGCCTTGATTCTGTCTCTCTTCCTGCTCTTCAATTCGAATTTTGTTAATTATATTATTTTTGCATTGTTAAGGTATATAACATTTATATTTGATTCTCTAAGTTGACTGACTGCTTTGTCTACCAGTTGGGTTTTAAACATTGGGCCTTTTTCTCTATGCCATTGGTTTTCCTCAAGTATCTGGAGAGCCTGAATTTGTGATTCATGTTTGTGAGTGAAGGACCTGGTTGGATCCTGTAGGTAACTGTTGTAGGATTCCTTTGCTTTTGCATGTCTATTGTCCTGAAAGGCTTTTCTTTTGAATGGGAGGTCTGACTTGGGTGTTGTAAGTGAATTGGCAGCCTGCCTAGAGGCAGCTTGCCTACAAAGCATTTTGGTAGCGAGGCAAGAGGCAGACTAGTACCCTCCACAATTGCCAAAACGAGTAGTAGATTACTTAGGGAGAAGTTAAAAGCTTTTATTTCATACCTAGTTACAGATTTTTGATCTTCTGCCTACTGGTTTGGTGCTGGGGTGTTATCTGACACACTGCTCAGTTTCTCTCTTGTTTGCAATGCTCGTGGAGAAGGCTCCTTGGGGGAGCTAGTTTACCTTGCTTAGAGAGTGAGAGAGTGGAGTTCAGGATTTAGCCCAAACACACAAGCCTTTATTGCCAGCTCTTTTTGAGGATGGACCCAAGAGTTCTAGCTTCTTTGATTACAGTTCTTTAATGAGTTCTTCATCATCCTGTATCTTTGTTTATATCATCTCTGAGTCTCCTTTGTGAAAACTAGCACTTATTCTCCTTGGTATACTCCTGGGCTTAGGTGTCCTCTGCTGTATCTTCATCATTCCAGTCTCATCTACTTTCCAGTTGCAAGGAATTACTTACCCTTTCTCGATTACCAGTGTTATTAACTTTCTCCCTCCCTCTCTTCCTTCTTTCCTTCCTTTTTTCCTTCTCTTGCTATGCTGTTCCGGCTGGCCTTGAACTCCTAGGCTGAAGTGATCCTCCTTCCTTAGCTGAGACTGTAGCAGGAGTGGCCACCAGAAACAGAGCTCTCAAACACCAAATGGGGAAGGGAGGGGTTTATTATGGCCGGGAGCCGATGTCCAAACCCAGCTCGTCTAATGAAGGTTCTGCCTTTATATACGCTTACACTCTAGATATTACACATGGAAGAATCTTAGGTTTACAACTTTAGAAATCACGAATGAAAGGGTTTTGGATTTACAGCTTTAGAAATCACGTATGAAAGGGTTTCAGGTTTATAGTTGTAGAAATCACATAGGAAAGGGTTTCAGGTTTACAGCTTTAGAAATCACATATGAAAGGGTTTCTGGGTTTACAGCTTTAGAAATCACATGTGAAAAGGCTCTGGTCTCCGGATGGAGGAGTGGGGTGGGGGTTTCATCTTATTTTAAGTAAGAACAGTGTCTTTTGGAGAGTTTGCCCGATACTAAGCGTGTTATTTACAGGAAGGTGATTCAGCAGGTGCCAATTGGCCTGCTTTTTCTTTTTGAAATGCCTTGTGGAAGTCAAGGGGGAAGTGATCCCAGAGCCCTGGGTCTCCTTCCTCACCCCCTCCTTTGAGACCCTCACCGCTCTATTATATCAGTGAGAGATCTCACTCTCATTCTCACTTTCCAGATACTCTGAAGAAACTGATTGATAATGTTTCACATAATATATTTGTGATGTCATTTTTTGGCTAACTACAGTAGTGATGAATCCCCTAATCATCTGAAGGAACTGGGGGAGTAAACAAGGTAGTAACAAACAAATGCCTATCATTATTATAACACTTATGATGAGAGTCTTGAACCCTCCCAAGGATGAGAACCAACCCCCAAACAAGGACTCAGGGTTAAATCTGTGCCGTATGTGCACAGGCACGTGTGCCAGTTTGGTCATGTCTCACACAATATCCTCCACTGCTTGACCCTGGTCGTCTATGTGTAGACAGCAGTTGGCTAGATTGAATTTTCCACAGACTCCTCCTTCAGCTGCCAGCAAATAATCTAGGGCCGGCCGGTTCTGATAAATCGCATTTCTCATTTGAGTTTCTTGTCGGGCCAAAAGGGACAGAGCTTTGCCCGTTTCATGAGTGAGTATTTTCAAAACAGCCTGCAACCGGATGATCCAGTTGAGCATGTAAATAGGAGTCCGGTATCCCCATGAGCCGTCCTCTGCCCATGTGGCTGGCCCATCATACTCAATAATTCTCTCCCGTGGCCATTCATCATCTGTTCATTCTGCTACCTTTAGGTTTCTTTTCTCCCTAGCGGAGTAGACTGGATACCCTAACAGCTCACCTGTCTTAACAGATAATAGGGAAAAAAGAGGGCTTAATGTTGCCTGTGACTCAGCTACCTGTCCATCTTTCAGGCAGCTGTATGTATGCCCTATGTCCGCATAACCAGTACAACCCAGGCAGGGCTGTCCAATTTCTCCGGTACTCAGGATGATCCCAAGCATCCTGTAATTTTGGAAATTATAGGAGGGGGCTCTTTTCTGTATAGTTTGAGCCCCACAAGGTTATAGTGTTCACTGTTCCATTATTACAATCACTATTCTATGCAGCTAAGCTTTTATACCAGAATAGTGAAGCCTGCTCCTTCTCTGGCCAAACAGTATTGTCCAATAATTGAGACCTTTAAAACCCAGAAACTGTTGGTTTGAACCCTTTGAACTAAGGTCAGGTCAGGAACAGGGTCAGAGGGTAATAACTCACGGGCTTCTTATGGCCACCTGGCACCCATAGTTGTCCCTTCACATACTTAGCAATAAGTAACAGTGAGGGAATGGGCCACATTTTCAGCAAGTTGGAGGCACAACTTCTTTGTCTTTTTCGGAAGCTCTGGTATTGGTTTATTTAATATACTATAAAAGTGCTGTACACTGGCCAGCCTGAGCGTTTTTGGATTTTTCCCTGAACCTGGATACTGCCTCCTGGGTTAAGCCCTTTTCCATTAATTCCTAGCATTACACTTTCCCCTTTTTTCACATTTAGGGTCTTGGGGGTTTGTGATTATTACTTTTACTGGGCTACAATGTCCTGAGACACAAGGGACATTACTCCCTGGAATGGTATCTCTCCCTTTTATAAGACGAACGGGATTATTTGTATTATTCTTCCAAGTGGCCCAGATGACACATGACCCAAAAATGCAATTAGCGTACCAGTAGGTTTTCTGGCAGATATACTTATGCTCTTTTGCATAACTTTGTTCCCATTTGAGAGAACCACAGCACCCCCCTACTGAAATGATAGGCATTGATGGCTGCACAGGCATTAAACCTTAGTGTAACCTGTTTTGGGCTTCCACTTTCCTTTGTTCTGGCTATTAACTTAGCAGGGCTATTTTATCACCCTGTTAGGAGTTTAATTTTAAAAGTTGTACGTGTAGGGGGCTCTGATGGGTGATGATTAGGGGATTCATCACTACTGTAGTTAGCACACAGCAGGCTGTCCATCCCCCGGATTACACACCTTATACTGTGTACCGTTATATAAATGGGTCCCCTACTGTGTCCCTGTACATTCATAATAACTGTAGGACAAAAGAATGGCAGTAAGTTGTCCGGGCGCCGTGGCTCAAGCCTGTAATCCCAGCACTTTGGGAGGCCGAGGCGGGTGGATCACAAGGTCAAGAGATCGAGACCATCCTGGTCAACATGGTGAAACCCCGTCTCTATTAAAAATACAAAAAATTAGCTGGGCATGGTGGTGCGTGCCTGTAATCCCAGCTACTCAGGAAGCTGAGGCAGGAGAATTGCCTGAACCCAGGAGGCGGAGGTTGCGGTGAGCCAAGATCGCGCCATTGCACTCCAGCCTGGGTAACATGAGTGAAACTCCGTCTCAAAAAAAAAAAAAAAAAAAAAAAAAAAAAGAATGGCAGTAAGTTTACGTCCTACCTTGGTAACCTGGTGCGCACACTGAGGGCATTCTTCAAAATTAGTTAATGTCCCTATTGTACAAGTCCAAATATTAAGAAGAACAAGTCCCACGATGAATTTCCTCATGCTTCGGCCGTGTGTGGACCAGCCAGCTTCCAGGATGTGGCTGGAGCAAGGTTTGTTGTCCTTTTTAAGGTGATTCTGCAGTTGCTGTGTGGGTTTGGTATGGCTTTCCAAGTTTCAGCTGCTGCCGGTTTCACACAGCTGTGGTGGATCCAGGCTGGGATTCCCTCTACCTTTATAGCTGTGGGGGTGGTCAGGATCATGGTATGGAGTCCTTTCCACCGTGGCTTCGGAGGGGCTGCACTCCAGTCGTTTATCCACACGTGATCACCTAGTGAGAAAGGGTGAAATGGGAAGAATAAGCCTACAGGACATTTGTCATTTATCCTGGTTGAAATATCCTGAGCAATTTTCTTTAGAGCTGGTAAGTAGCATCCTAACTCAATCTCTCCACACTCCCGAGGAGTTCCCGGGAGTGCCCGGGGTGGCGGGGGCGGGGGTGGGTTGGGGTGGTCTATGATATAAGGCTTTATAGGGGAATATCTTGTTTTCCTAAAGGGATTCCATTTAATTTTGAATAACACCAAGGGAGGTGCCTGTACCCACTTTGATCCTGTTTCCTGATACACTTTCGCTAAGCTATTTTTGATGGTCCGGTTCATTCTTTTCACTTTTCCCAAACTCTGAGGGCAATAGGCAGTGTGCAGTTTCCAAAGTAATACCCCAAGGCCATCACTGTCTTCTGGGCTAAGTTCACCACAAATTCTGGTCAGCTGTTTGACCTGATTCGCAGTGGCAGTCCAAACCTAGGAACGAGATCTTGAAGCAGCAAATGGGTTATTTCATGGGCTTCCTGGCACCAGGGGCAAAGTGGCAGGGTTTAGGGTGTTGCACAGACCCTAATGGTAATGCAGAGATTTTTACTTTAGCAGGATCAGGTATTTGGCAGGCCTAGCATTTGTTAACCAGTGATGTACTTTGGTATTCATTAGGGTCACTACTCTGTGAGGTGCTTTCATATTTAAATTCTTCCCAGAGTTAAGGCTAGAATCTTAACTGCCATTCCTCTTCTTTTTTTTTTTCCCCCATACAGCATGAAAAGCTTTGTCAAATCCTCTAGCCCCAAAGCCAGGTCTGACAGAAGTTTTGCTTTTAGTTTTTGCCCCATTCAAAGGGTTTCTTGTCTTCTCCCCGCCCCACTTTGTCACTTTGTGTAAGGGTTTGGCCAGTACTTCTAAGTTTGGAAATCCACAATTTACAAAACCCACAGCTCCCAGGAGCTCTCTCACCTGCCTTCTAGTCTCAGGTTTTGGCAGGTTGCAAACAGCTTGCTTCCTCTCTGCTTCTAGGCTGTGTTCCCCCTTCCGGATGGTGAGCCTCAGATATTGCATTTGCTTTTTGGCAAATCTGGGCTTTCTTTTAGACACTTTATACCCACAGTCCTCCAGGTGCTGAAGTAAGGCATCTGTTCCTTTTGCACACCCGACTGCCGTGGGGTGTCCTAATAGAAAGTCATCAGCATATGGGGTCAGCGTGCAAGCAAGAAACTTCTGGGGGGGGCAGTCACAGGCTAGTGCCTCCCCAAGGATGGTGAGAGAGTTTCTGAGCCCCTGGGAAGCTGGGTCCAGGTGTATTGGGTGGTTATACCTGTTTCTGGATTTCTTCCATTGAAATGCAAATGGTTCTTGACCCTCCGAGGCCAGTCCAATGGTAAAGAAAGATTCTTTAAGTCCAATCAAGTGAACCAGCTATCCTCTGCTAGCAATAATCCCAACTGCGTGCACAAGTTGGGTGTAGGTGGGTGCAAAGTTATGCAAGCCCTGCACTGGCCTGGGCGGAAATACCAATCTTTTAGTCCTTGGTTAGGGAAGGTCTTCACCCTCCTTCCTGAGGGATGATGAGAACCTGGATAACCCCTGCGTGAGGCAGGCTTAGCTGCAGGGTGTCTTTCTTATTGAATGGGATAGCCGTAGCCCTTAATTTGCACAACAAGTTTTACCTGAGGAGGGGGTGTAGGAGACAGTTCATCAAGGTCTGTTCTTTTAACAGCTTCATAGCTCTAACGATATTAGTTTTTTTCTTTACAGGGCTGTCGTTTGGACCATGGGCTCTTTGGGGGCAGATGAATCCGGCCCCCTTCTCCTTTAGTCCAGTGGCCCTTTCATTAGATTGAACAGAGCCCCTTAACTTTTGTTTGAAGCTTTGTGCTCAGGGTCTTCCTGTTTTCCTGTTAGCTGGGGGCACAGGTCCTTCCAATATCCTACTTTTTTACAGAATGCACACTGATCGAGTTGCAGGCATTGGCGGGCAGACTGTGGGGTTTTCCAGGAACCCACCTTTTCCCACGCACTTGGGGGCACTTCTCTCATAGCCACAGCTATTAAGTCAGCATTTCATCGAGGCTGGCACTCCTTTTTTCTACGACTTTCTCCACGGCTCACCACTTCTTGGTTCACAAACACCTGGTTAGCTATCTCCAGTAGCTGTGAAGCAGGCATGCCCGCAAATCCTGCCTGTTTCTGCAATTCTCGTCTAATGTCTTCTGCACACTGCCTAATATCATATTTACTATGCATTGGTCTTCAGGGCTTTTAGGATCAAAAGAAGTATACATGCGAAATGCTTCACCCAGCCTTTCATTCATGTTAAAAAGATACATAAGCAGCTGATAGTAATCAGCGGGAGTGGGGTTATGAGTCTGTATAATCGTTTGCAGTAGGTGAGCAAGAGCTTTTGGCTCCTTGGTATCAAAAACTTTTCTGCCACTGGAGCTGCCAGAACCTTGGAAGTCCTTGTCTTTCAGTGCGGGGGAATGGTGGTTTCTAGCAGTCTGTCCCTGGGCCACTAAAATAGATGCTGTCTTTCCTCTCAGCCACTTTGGAGGATTCAAAACTAACTGCAACCACGAATCTATGTATGGAAATTGATCAAGGTGTTCTAGCTTGCCACATATAACCTCATGCCTTACTTTGGAGACAAGAGACCTGTCTAGGGTGCCCTCTGGGGGCCAGCCTACCCCAAATGCTAGACAATCTACCTCACATAAAGTCCTTAATTTCTCTGGTGTCATAGCTACTCTATAATTCCCACTAAATCCTTTCTTGAAATTTTTCAGCATGGTCTCTAAAGGGGTGGGCTTGCTGTGAGAGTGACGCATGCTTACACGCTAAAGAAACAGTTCCCACAGTTAAGAGAGTGTCACTTCAGCCACAGCAAGATTCAGCACACACTCCCCAATTTACATTCATTTCAATCCTTTCACAATGCCTAGATGGCAAAGGCTTCTCCACTCAGCCTTATGTGGCTGTCTCTAATTCTAGCTAGCTAGCCCTCCAAATTGCATGACACATGAGGCCCCTCCTTCTGATAGGCCCAATACTCCCACCTTTCACAACTGAAGAGTCCAGTTGGACCCTTCTACACACACACACACACACACACACACACACACACACACACACACAAAACTGCTCTCCTCCACCCAAATCGAAACCATAAGCAAAAAGCTTCCAAGGTTCGTTACAAAGGGAGAGAGAAAGAGAGCGCCAAGTTCAAAAGTGTCAAATCTGGCACACATGGGTGATCAGGCCATGCTTCCACCTAGAGGAGGTGGGCTATCTTCCCCGGGATCAATCCTACCATATTTCTGTTGCCTGGACGTTCCACGTACCCGTTCCTTCTTGGTGTTCAGCTGCTGGGCAGATCCACACTGTGGGGGCTTTCCCGCTCTGGCAAGGCTTTTCACTGGGCAAATACCTGCCTAGGAGTGCTCTCAGGAACCATGTCACCACAGTGGGCGGGAGCCCACCACAGGGATGCTCTAAAGGGCTAGGCAAACCACCTGAGAGGTTCTTTCCCACCATCTGCCAACCAAAACTCGCTTCCTGGCCAACGCACCAAATGTAGCAGGAGCAACCTCGAGAAACAGAGCTCTCAAACACCGAATGGGGAAGGGAGGGGTTTATTGTGGCCAAGAGCCAGGCAATGAGTTGTCCAAACCCAGCTTGTCTAATAAAGGGAGGTTCTGCCTTTATATAAGCTTACACTCTAGATATTACACATGGAAGAATCTTAGGTTTAGAGCCTTAGAAATCACAAGTGAAAGGGTTTTGGATTCACATCTTTAGAAATCAGATACGAAAGGGTTTCTGGGTTTACAGCTTTAGAAATCACGTGTGAAAAGCCTCTGGTCTCCGGATGGAGGAGTGGGGTGGGGTTTGATCTTATTTTTAAGTAAAAACAGTGTCTTCCAGAGAGTTTCTCCAATACCAAGTGTGTTATTTACAGGAAGGTGATTCAGGAGGCGCCAGTTGGCCTGCTTTTTCTTCTGTTGAAATGCATTGTGGAAGTCAAGGGGGAGGTGATCCCAGATGCCTGGGTCTCCTTCCTCAGGACTACAAGCGTGCACCACCATGCCTAGCTCAAGGATTTATTCTTTAAAAACAAATGAAAGGAATTTCAAGGAAACTTTAGGAGGAAAGGTTGATGCTTAGTCTATGCCTCCTTTTTAATGACACCAAGAGGCTGCTATATCCTAAAACTTTTTTGTAACTAGTCTGTTAGAATCATTGGAAGAAGTAGCTCCCTGGCCACCAGTCAAAGGTAGTCCAAATAAGTATGTAAGTCAAGCTTTAGATATAGCCACTTAGAGTGAATACTAGATTTCTAGAAGAACCAAGATGCTATAAGCAATAGAAAAGAACTGTTCCTTTCCATAAAAGGACTACAGTCTTGTTATAGGTACAAGGTATGCATATCTAATAGTTGGAAACCTTACCAACTTTCTTCAGTTATAGAAATGTATGGTGTTGACCATAAATACTATCAGAGGTTAAAGAAGGAAGAAGCTATTGTAAACTGGTGTCAGTGGATGGATATTTTATGGAAGAATTTGGAGTTTGAACTAGAACTTAGTAAGGGTGGATAGAGATTTAATTAGTAGAGAAGGGAAGGAAGAATGCTTTCTAGATAAGTTAAGGGAATGAGGGACAATGGGCAATGGAGCTGGAAATGACCATAGCTTGAAGAACTATGGAAAGACTAACATGACTGAGAAAGGTTGGAGAAGAATGGGAATGAGGCTTGACAAGGGTGGCATGTAAAAAGTTTTGGCTCTGACTTCAGGTACTGATTTGACGACTGAGTTATTGTGGTGAATGTGCTACTGTTATGAATTGGTTTCCACTTCTTTAAAAAGAATTCCATTATCTTAGGCAAAGTATAACCCAAGTATTGAGGACTTTAAATAGTTTATAGGCTGGATGTGATGGCTCATGCCTGTAATCCCAACACTTTGGGAGGCTGAGGCAGGCAGATTTCCTGAGGCCAAGAGTTTGAGACTAGCCTGGGCAACATAATGAGACATGTCTCTGCAAAAAATAACAAAGTAATTGGGTATGGTCGCATGTGCCTGTTACTTTTATCTACTTGGGAGAATAGGCAGCAGAATTGCTTGAGCCCAGGTGTCCAAGGTTACAGTGAGCTACGGTCATGCCACAGCCCTCCTGCCTAGGTGACAGAGCAAGACCTTATCTAATAAATAAATAAATAAGTAAATAAAAGTTAAAAAAGCAATATTCTTATAAGGAATTGATTCGGCAAACAAAGTGAATATCCATTTTAGTCTTTTGAGCAAGAGAAAAGTGATGAATGGTGAAACGTGGTTTGGTATTTTAGACAGATTTAAGTAGTTGTAGGACGTAGATGGATTGAAGGAAATGAAAACAGTTAGTCTGTGAGATGAGGCTATTCCAGTAAGCCAGATGTAAAGTGATCAGAGACTAGACCAGGATAGGCACAGTGAAACTGGAAAGGAAAGGATACATCTGAGGAACAACATTCAGAGCTTGGTAAGTAAGTACGTGTGGAATTTTAAAAAGAGAAGCCAGACGGGGTGTGGTGGCTTACAGATAGGCTTTGTCAATGCATAGTTACAGTGGTGGGATCTAAGGGGTGCTGTGATCATGGTCTTGAAAAATGGTTACTGTTGTTAGCTTACCAAAGGAAAGTTAATTTGAATTGGTCTCTTCTCCCTAGTTAAGATATGTATGTGTATATTTATTTATTTGTTTTTTCCCTGTGTCAGTCACATAGGGGACTGAGACACAAAGAGGCCATGTGAATTTTCTAAGCAGCACTTGCTGTCAGTGTGTGGCCTATAGACTCGTCCTGATTTGTGATCTATTTGTTTCTGGTCATCGACAACATTAAGTACAAAAATTAAGAATAAGCACTTAGCAATGTTTAGCAATTTGATATTCCTACCTTATCTAAGTACATTATATTTTTTCCCAGTAATTTATGTTTTTGTTTTGTTGTTGTTTTTACAAAAATAGTGGTTTGTGATGTCTTGGGAAAAGTTTTTTTCACTACAGATTAAACCATTGATCTAGGTTCAGAGAGAATTATTTACAATAGTACCAGAACTATTTTGGTTGCTGGGCTTTTTATTTTGAATTCCTATATCTTTCTCTGTATTTTCCTCCGTAGTCATAGTCATATTTTAATTTAAATATTTAGACTTATTTTCACTATGGAGAAACCTTAGGCCTTCTAATCCTACATTTCTCATCAAATATAATTTCAGATTCCAATGTCATAATAAGATATTAATTATATTTTTGTATGAGAGTCAAGCAATGGAGCATGCTGAAAGTTTTTCATTTGGAATATCTAGAGAAAAGGGTGATTGAATTTGACTATCATCTAGTTCTTTTTCATACCAAAAATGCAAAAACATATAATGTCATATTTAAAGACTATGTCAGAAAAGGAATTTCATCCTAGAGGTGCTTTTGTGTTGTTTTGTATAAATGCTTCCAGAAGCTCCTCCTTGCTTTTTAATACCACCTGTGAGCTTTTCTTTTTCATTTCTCTTTTTTTTTGAGACAGAGTTTTGCTCTTGTTGCCCAGGCTAGAGTGCAATGGTGTGATTTTGGCTCACCGCAACCTCCACCTCTCGGATTCAAGCGATTCTCCTGCTGCTGCCTCCCAAGTAGCTGGGATTACAGACATGCGCTGCCACACCTGGCTAATTTTGTATTTTTAGTAGAGATGGGGTTTTTCCATGTTGGTCAGGCCGGTCTCGAACTCCTGACCTCAAATGATCCACCCACCTCAGCCTCCCAAAGTGCTGGAATTACAGGCGCGACCCACCGCGCCTGGCCAAGCTTTTCCATTTCGAACATGCCCATCTCTTTCTTTAACACTAAAGGAGGTTAATAAGAGTTATATTTTAAAATCAAAACATAGTAAAAATTCTTACCACAGGGAAAAGAAATACACATATATTTCTTTCATTGAATAGGACTTGTTTGGTGTTGGTATCCTGCGATCTATGTCCTGGGATATATGTATGTTATAATCCCCTAATATGCTTAAAATAGGATTTCTTTTCTAAAAGACAGTATGTCATATAAGAGGCAAGGAACTGATTTTTAAAATATAAGTAGTAAGAAAGGGTAGTAGTGTTGTGTGTTTTAGTCAGAGTGCTAGATGGAATAAATGTTTATTTTAACAGATTTTACTGTTAGCTATTTTAGATTGGGGAGAATAAAATAATAAGGTATGTCACTGTCCTTAAGGACCTTATTTATAGATTAGTAGAGAAAGGAGAGATATAAATATTAACTAATTCAAGGCAGATTGGTTTAATCACTATTACAAGAAATATAGGAGAAAGAAGATGGTAATTATGGTTGGAATGAAGACAGGCTTGATAACATTAATGACATTTGAATGAGGTCTGGGAAAATAAGATTTTTGATATGAGAAACATGGAGGTAGTAGTATTTCACATTTGTGAAACAGCCTGGTAAAGGAATGTAGTGGTCAGGACTCTTTGAATGGACAGAACAGAAAAAGAATTTCAACTCAAACTAGCTTAAGCACAAATCAGAAAAGGGAGTTTGTTGGTTCACTTGTGGAAAATGAATAGAATTGGAGTCTTGCCTCTTGCCCACCTACATCCAGGTAGGTGGTCAAACTGTAATGAGTATTCCCACTCACATACTGCTTTTCTATGTGTAGCTTCTCCTAAGAGGCACTGTACACATACTGCTTTCCTGTGTGTAGCTTCTCCTAAGAGACACTGTACCCATAGGATGGCTGTGGCAAAGATGACAACCTACTAGCAGCTTCTTAGATATTTCTACCAGATTAGCAACCCCATTGAATTAGAGATCTGTCAATAATTGCAGCAAAAGTCCTTGGCTTGGGTAATGTGCTCATTCTAAATCAATCACTGTGGCATGTGTGTGTGTGTGTGTGTGTGTGTGTGTGTGTGTGTGTGTGTATTGCACTAATTGCCCAGGTCTGGATCATATGCACAAAAAATAGTGTGTGGAGAGGGGTGAGGCCAGCTTCACCTGATCCCCATGGAGACTGGGGGAGGTACAATTCTCCAAAGGAAAATTAACGTACTCTTAAAGAAATAAGCAATTCAGAGCAGGCCAAAACAGCCATTACAAGGTAGAATATATAAAAATATGACTAAACTTAGGAGTTGTAAAAACATGTATAGAGAAAATAAAAGGCTGGGATAGATAATAGTAATAGATACATATTCATTAATGGATATTTCAAGTTCATTAGAGGAGAGCATAATGTTTATGCAATAGGTTAAAATCATTATTTAGCATGCTAAATTTTGAATTGATTTATAGAGAGAAGAGCTGGAGGCAACAATAAATGTTAAGGCTGTCTAGACTGGTTAATTTTGAAAATTTTATTATTTTTCATTTATTTATTTTCATTAATTCATCAAACCTTTCATAAGAACCAATATTCCAGTTTGTGAAAGTTCTTTTTTTTTTTTTTTTTTCTTTTTTTAACTGTTTGCTGTTTGGCCATTATATTCTTTCTCTTTTTAGCAATGTATGAGAAGAAAGGATTAACTAGATAAACCAATCACTTTTACTTTGTAGTACCTATATGAAAAGGTACAATTGTCTAGATTAGAATTCAACAAAAATTAGATTTTTAGATTATTTGAATTTAATTTGTCTTGGATAGACATGCTTTTTATTTTTTCCTAATTTTTATTCTTTTGCAAAAAACAATTGAGGCAGTTAGCAAAGATATATGTATTATACTAAGGTTAAAAAAAGAAAGGTGGGGAAAAGGAAGATAGGAAAATTAAAGTAAGGCTAGGATTAATATCTTTATCTCAATTGCATACCATAAGTACTCTAGCTTTTGCTGGAGATTACTTATTTAACCCTTGGCTTGCTTGCTTCTTTGCCAGTGCAAAGAAGGAAAACTGATTAGATGCAAGATTCATAGTATTCTTCCTATAAAAATAAAGTACTCAAGAGAAATACACTTCTTATACTGTAGTACTAGGATCTGGTGAAATTTCTTTCTGGGGCTTTAAAAAGAATGTGATATACTGTGGTAAATAAAAACCACAAGAGTGTATTTAGTAATGCTCTGGAGTTCTTTCTGAAAACATTCACCAACCTATGTCGCAATGCCAAAACACAGCTTAGGACAAGTCATTTTTGTGTGGGGCCAAAATAACAGTCTAGATCAGGGGTAGGCAATCTACAGCCCATGGAGCAAATTTGGCCTGTTGTATTTTATAGATAATTATATAGCACAGTCATGCATGTTTATTTACATATTGTCTATAGCTGTGTTCATGCTACAACAGTTAAGTAGTTGTTACACAGACCATAGTCCCACAAAGCCTAGAATATTTCTAGTCTGACACTTAACTGAAAAAGTTTGCCCACCCTTGGTCTAGATACGCAATTCACTGATGGATTGATTTAAAATTGAGACAGTATATAAAGTGTCTAGAACAAAGGTCTCAAACTATAGGCCAACTTACAGATTTGGCCTATAGATATATTTTGCTTGCCAAATCAGTATTTGACATTTGAAAATTTGTGCCAACCCAGAAAAATTCAGATTTGTGACTTCTCTGGGGAAATTGGATGGTCTGGTAATAGTGAGCTTGCATTGTGTTTGTCATCCTTTAAAAAGGATGCACCATCTTTTTCCAGTTTTATTCCCCACTACTATATTACCTCCCAGCATGCTATTAAGTATGCATTATGTCTAAAAAAACCCACACGTGCTGTAATTTTTTTTTTTTTTTTTTTTTTTTTTAAAATAGTGTTTTTTTTTTTTCCTTAGGCTGGAGTGCGGTGGCAAGATCTCAGCTCACAGCAAGCTCTGCCTACCAGGTTCAAGTGATTCTCCTGCATCAGCCTCCTGAGTAGCTGGGATTACAGGCACCTCGCCTGGCTAATTTTTGTATTTTTAGTAGAGATGGGGTTTCACCATGTTGGCCAGGCTGGTCTTGAACTACTGACATTAGGTGATCCGCCTGCCTCAGCCTCTGAAAATGCTGGGATTACAGGCATGGGCCACCATGCCTGGTACATACTGTAATTTCAAAATGCTTTATTGTTAGTAAATGCCAACAATCATCTTAGCCCTCAGAGAATAGCTTTTTGCTGGTTGAGGGTCTTGTCTCAATGTGGATGGCTGCTGAAGGTTGGGGATCTGTCTCAATTTCTTAAATTAAGACAACAATGTACTTTGCCATGTTGATTGATTTTTCTTTCCGTGAAATATTTCTCTCTGGCCTGTAATGTTGTTTGCTAGCATTTTACCCACAATAGAATTTCTTTAAGAATTGGAGTCAATCCTCTCAAACCCTGCCACCGCTTTATCAACTAAGTTTATGTAATATTCCAAATCCATTGTTA